CTTGAACCACCTTTGTCCCGTCACTGAGGATATCCTTCCTTTTAAACTCACCAGGGGGGACCAGCAGGGTTTGGGAGAGACCCTGTTCCCCCTAGCGCCCCCCCGGGGTAACAAGGAATAACAGCCACAAATTGTTAGAGAGTAGGTTTAGACTAGACATCCGAAGGCACTACTTCACAGTCAGAGCAGCTAGGGCCTGGAACCAACTTCCAAGGGAAGTGGTGATGGCTTCTACCCTGGGGGGCTTTAAGAGGAGGCTTGATGTCTACCTGGCTGGGGGCATTTGAGCCTGGTTTTCTCTCCTGCCCAGGGCAGGGGGTCGGACTTGGTGGTCTACAAGGCCCCTTCTGTAGACCACCAAGACCACCCTACTTCTATGAATCTATGAATCTATGAATGCAGTGTGGCTTCCGACCATCCCGGGGCACAACGGACATGGTTTTCATTGCCAGGCAGATCCAAGGAAAATGTTGGGAGCAAAATCAAGAACAGTTCCTCGCCTTCATTGACCTGACCAAGGCATTTGATTCCTTAAATCGTGAAGCTCTGTGGACCATCCTCCAATGCCTTGGCTGCCCACTGAAGTTTGTCACCATGCTGAGGCTCCTGCATGATAATATGACCACCACTGTCCTGAGTGGAAGATCTAAAACAGACGCCTTCCGCATCTGGACCGGGGTCAAAAGTTTGTATGATTGCCCTTACCCTCTTCACCATCTACCTGACCATCATCATCCACCTCATCCGAGATGATCTATCATCCACTGTCAGTATCCAGTATCAACTGGACAGGGAACTTTTCAACCTCGGGTGCTTCCAGGTAAAAATTAAACTCACCACCAGGGATATCCATGACCTTCAATTTGTGGACAATTGCTGCATGATGGCTCACTCTGCATAGGATGTGCAAGCCACCTTAGATCTCTTCAACACTTCATATAAGAGACTTGGCCCCAGGCCAGCTAAACAGCCCTTGCGCTATCTACGGAGATGGGGAGGCTCTGGAGTATGTGGAGCACTTTGCATATCTTCCAGCCAACTCTCTCAACAGACTACCACCAATAAAGAAGTCCAGCACTGGGTCAACTGTGCCAGTGCCACCTTCTTCAAGGTGCGATAACTTGTCATCAAAAATAGAGACCTTCAGAAGTTGATGATGGTCCTGGTTTACAAGGCTATCGTGCTGACCACCCTTCTCTACTGCAATGAAATCTGGACCGTTTCCCAGCACCACATTAAGACCCTTGAGAGCTTTCACCAGCAGTGCTTGTGTCGAATCCTGGGGATCAAATGAGAGGACTGCTGGACCAGTCCTCCATGAAGCTGCATCTACCAACATCGAAGCCTTGCTCTTGAGAAATCAACTCCGATGGATGGGCCAGTGTGTCCAGATGTTCAAGAACTGCCTCCCTTGCCAGATTCTCTTTTCCCAGCTCTCTGTTGGCCAACGCTCAAAGGGTGGCCAAAGGAAACGGTACAAAGATGCACTCAAGGTTGCCCTCAAGCACAGAGGCATTGACACCAAAGGCTGGGAGGAGCAAGCTGCTGACCATTTGGTGTGGTGCCACCTGGTTCACCAAGGCACACACCAATTCAAGGCCCAAGGACTCAATATTGAGGCGGAATGGCAGCAGCGGAGGAAGGAGAAGGAGACCAACCCAGGGCTGCGAATACTATTCCCCCATGCAACAATATGCCCCATTGCTGAAGAATGTGTATATCCGGAATTGGGCTCCTCTGTCACCTGAGGAATTATCAAACCTGACAGACATCATCCTTGACTTTGAGGGACTGCTGACGATGACGACGACATGGCAGCCAGGCAGTGATGGAGAGCAGCTCCCTCAGTTCCCTCCAGGTAAGTGTGCAGGGGAGGTGGGGGGCACAGGCCACACGTTGCGTGGGGGGGAAGGAGCACAGACTGGGCAGGGGCAGAGTCTGGCCATGTATTGGGGGGTGGGAGGGGGCATAAGTGATGGGATGGGAGGGACATGTGCCCCTCAAGATTTCTGTGCCCACAGCAGGGTGCAGGGCTGGACCAGCTCCAGAGAGGCTGCTTCCGTGGCCCAGTCCACCGGACCCAGAGCAAGAGACTGTCATGTTGCCATAGCCACTAAGATGAGGCACAGCAGTGCTGTGGAGTTGTGCCCCCCACTGCTGCCAGGTGGGCAGGGGGCATCTCACTTGGTGGCCATGGCAGTGCAGTGCTCCCTTCTACACCACCCCCTGCACCCTGCAGAGGCAGCTCCTGCCCAGACTTAGTCCAGCCCCACAGCAGCCCCGCACCCTGCTGTGGGCACAGAAATCTTGGGAAGGCATACGTCCCCCCACCCTCATCCCATGTATCACCTGTACCCACACCCCCCCTTCCCCACACACCCACTTCCTTGCTCACACACCGAGGGCAGGGTGCAGCAAATCAAGTGGGAGGCACCAGCAGGGCTGAGGGTTGGGAGGGAGGGGCACCGACAGGGCCAGGGGGCTGTGGTTTTGGAGTGAGGAGCACCAGCAGGGTCAGGGCGTTGTGGGTTGGGAGTGAGGGGCACCAGCAGGGCTGGAGGGGGCTGTGGGTCAGGAGTGAGCAGCAATGGCATAGACAGGGCATTGGCATATCAGGGCTGCTCAGCGTCACAAAGAAATGGGGGAGACAGCCGCAGATGGACCCACATCCTGATGAGCAAAGGGGACGGGCAGAGTTCTTATTTTCCACAATAAATGCCTTGTGTTTGATTTTGGGTTTTTTATAGGTTTTATAATTTATTTTATTATAGTGATTGAGGTACTAGTAGGCTTCCAAATTGCTTTAAAATTGTAAATGTATCAATAAAACATTGTGTTAAACTAATATCTGTATCTGTCTGTCTATCTATCTATAGATATATACGTAGATATATCTATAGATTTCATTTTAATCACGGAAAAAATGTTGATTTTGGTTTTATAAATCAGGGAATTTGCAATTTTTTTATCAGAAAATTTGGAGTTTTTAAACAGAGAAAACCAGGATCTATACACATCATTGAGCCTGTCCATCTTGATTTTACATCCGTCCGTCCATCCGTCTTTACATATGTGCATAATAACAGTTCATTTTCTCTGTGTTGAATCTCCTCTTACTGTCTGTAGTCCAGTTCTCCAATCTATCAAGATCCCTTGGAATTTTTATCCTAGCTTTCGGTGTTTGAAATTCCTTATGGTCTTTGGGTTGTCTGCAGACATGATCAGTATATTCTGTACTCATGTCATAAATAAAAATACTAAACAACACTGGACCTAGAACAGAACCCCGTATGATTTCCCCCTCTCCTCCTGTCCCCCTAAGACACAGTGATGCTGATAGGTTAAGGAAAGTATATGGAAGACATGGAGGAAATTGATATACTGTCTTATTGGTCATGTACTACTGCCACTAGTTACTATAATCTTAGGCCACATACCATTCTCCTGGTAAAAACTAGCTGGGCACAGGTGTTCATTCGGTATCTCCTAGGTGAAACACAACACCTGGAAGGTCTCCATTGCCAGAGAAACTCTCTTGCAAGACTGAGGGCACAGACAGCTTCCCACAGTAATTGAGAACACTTTGCACGAAACGTTCCGAGTTACAACAATCCCTCTGACCAAACAGAAGTTTGCTCTTCTTTCCAGGAGGCAGGGGAATCTAGGTGTTGGCTGGGAGCCTGCAGACAGCTTCTCCTAGCAATGGCCCCTCCTCCCTCCCAGTTTGTCCCTGTTTTCAGAATGGGAAGTGGGGAAAGGGAGCAGAGGGAACTCTTCTAGGGGTTTCCCAGGAGGCATTGGAGAGTGGGGTGGGTGAATTGGAGCCCCCCACACCTCAGGGAGGGTTCCAATACACCCAACTCACCCTGCAGCAGGGGCTGAAAAACCCCCAGACTGAACTCCCTCTGCTCCCTATTCCCCCTCCCATTCTAAAAACAGTGATAGGCAGACAAAAGTTACAAAAGACACTCTGTTTTGTAATGTCTTTATCTGAACCCTAATGCAAGAGGGTTCAGATTTTTGCCTGATCAGCCATTTTTTGAAGTCGTCTGCAGCCATGCACTTGTTTTTGGTCACGGCTATGGATCTCTTTCTATAGGCAGACCGGGCAAAAATTGTCACTTCTGTCTGCACCCTGAATGCCTGTATGCTGCCCCACTCCCCTTCTGGTCCTGGTAACCAGGAGTGGAGCAGCCTCTGCTCCCCATTCCTTCCCCACACCAAAATCACCCCAGTCTGATGAAGGCATGGAGAACAGGGGAAGAACAAACAAGCAGAAAGATTTCTAGCAGTGGAAATGTCTCAGAAATTTTGAGACATTTGCACTACTAGAAATGAATGCCTGTTCTTGGCTTTAGTGTGTTGCAGGATTCTCAGGTACAGGTGAATTATCATATGTTATCTGGGAATCCTTTTTCATTTTTGCCTGGATAGGTGATTGTGAGCATTTCTATGGGTGATCTTTTTGAGAGATATATATATGAATTGCAATTAATCTCTAGTCATTTTCATCAGACATGATGATCTTGTGAAGTCCCTTCCCTTCCAGACCCTAACATCCATGAATAATCTTAATTTTTTGGAAGCATGTAACATTTGAAACACACTGCTCTCTGCTTTTGAAAATGTACCATTTAGGAGTATGTTCTTCCCAGCTTTGGCTAACAGTTCATGAAAGATCCTGAATCTTTTCTAGGATTTCCGTTCTTCTGGGACTGGTTAATTTGAATGGTTTGAAATTCTGTTTTTATTAGGAATTTAAAATCTCTTCAGATTAGGATATGCACATTCACAAGCACAACCTACTGTAAAACTGATGTGCCTGCTTCCAGCTGACCTGACATATAGATAGACCTGTAATGGACTAACCAGAATTGAATGTGTCTAATGTTTAAAGTGCTAATTGGTGATTCCACGGGAGCCAGAAAAATATATGAAAGCAGGTTTAGATTCTCCTCTGGCTTAGGAAGTAAGTTTTTCTTTTTCTTTTTCCCTCATAGTCAAAAGCACTTCGAGAAAAATGGCTGGTACAAGGGATTCCTGCTGGCTCAGCAGAAGAGGAAGAAGCCAGAAGGAGGCAGTCAGAAGAGGATGAGCTAAAGGTGAAAGAGCTTGAAGACAACATCCATAGGTAGGTGGCTGTTTTTCTTTGCATTCAAAGGGTAGCGCAATGAGTTCTGAGGTCTGTGCATGATTCCTGCAGGCACATTCCCCATTGTTTTGCACGTCTAGTCACTGAAACTGGTGCAAAATAAACTGGGTGTGCATTGCTACTGTCCTTTTTTATCCCTTTATATGAAGTAAATGATTAGACAAAGTGAAGCAGAAGGAGAAATCTTGGCTTGCAGGTATTTTGTCCTAAATATTATGTTGTTCAATTTGCTCTCTAGATTTGTGTGTGGGCTTGATGGGTTTTCTTTTTTTTTTTTTTTTCTGCGATATTATGTCCCAGAACTAACAATTCAGTTTAAATGAGCTTCTCTCAGTTCCACTGCTGTAAACCTTGACTGACTGAATTCAGCACAGTAACAGCTGAGTAACAGCCAATTTGCAGCCCAAAGTCTTGCTAGCTGGAGGAATGTAAAGAGGGAGGAAAGGCAGTCCTGAGGCTAAGATGCTACCACATATTTAGAGGGCCTGAGTTCTGTTTCTTGCTGTGACTCAGATTTATTATGTGACTTTGGGCAAGTCACTTAAGGTAAGATCTTACTTTACCTGGGCATGATCCTATTCCAGTGAAAAACTGTTAACAAAAAGGGTGAGTGGGTCTTCCTCCTCCTTTCTGTGACTAAGGGTGCGTGTAGACGAAATGGGGGCCTTAAATTGAAGCAGTGGATTTTTAAAAACACCCCTTTAATTTAGGGCCTTTTAAGCCCCGTGTCATGCACGCACCCAAACTTACATGCCTCTCTGGCAGCAGGAAGTGGAGGACAAGCTGCCAGCGGGTGGAACGGTCCCTGGGCTGCACGGGTGACTCTGCAGCAGTGCTTGACTCTGCAGCAGTAGTGGCCCCCCCAGGTGGCACCCACCTGCAGGCACCTGGCTTGGGTGGTCCCAGGGGGCACCACAGCCACAGAGGGAAGCACTGGGCCCCGGCTTAGCTCAGGCAGGCAGGAAGGCTCCAGGGGGAACAATATATATATTGTTCAATATATATACATATATATATGTTCAATATATATACATATATATATGTTCAATATATATACATATATATATTGTTCAATATATATATTGAACAATATATATATATATATATATATTGTTCCCCCTGGAGCCTTCCTGCCTGCCTGAGCACAATATATATCAGGCTTGCTGCTTTTTTTTCCTTTTCTTGGGCGGAGCCTGCCTTCCTGAGCTGCTGTCAGGCTGTCTACACAGGCATCCTGCAGAGTCGTGGAGCTGCGTGGAGCCTGGGGCTTTGCTGCATGGCTGTAGGGTAGCAAACTAAAACTCCTCCTCGGTCATTTAAGCCATGTTACACCACTGTATTTGCTACAGAGGCTGGAATTACTGCATAATACACCACCGAACATGCAAAAACCAACATCATTAAAGCGGTGCAAAAGCATTTAACTCACTTTAAAGTGTTGTGCGCACACACCCCTCATTTCATGTACATACAGCCTTAGTCTTAAAGGCTAAGATGACAGGATCTTTCAGAAGTAGATGCATTAATGGAATTTCAGGAAAGTAAGCAGGACAGAACAGGATCATATTTGGATTCCTAATATGTGGAATACAGCCTTTCATCCTTCTAGGCCTCCCAGAAGTAACATAGGGTACTAAAACGTCTTTATTTCACAGGGTGCTGGAAAAATAATGTATTACAGACTATGAGGCCACCACATACCTGATGGTGATGGCAGCCATATGAATACTAAGCTAATTGAAATTGCAGAATTGGGGCTTTGTTTTTGTTATGCTCGATGAGGTTATTCTGTTTATCAGACTTTTATAAGGAAAAAAAAGAGCAAATTAAGAAACTTGCAGAAACATATGCATCTCATTCTTACCAGCAGATGTTCCTCTTTTACTTGCTGTACAGACCTGGAAGGGGTCAATGAGAAACTGGATTATTAGTGAGGAACATCTGCTTTTGATTCTAAAAATAGTCACATCTACTTTAGAGCACTGGAATTGTTTTCATGGTTTTTTGTTTAATTAAAATGATGAGAAAATTAGGGCTGTTGAAAATTTTCTGTCATACTTGTTTTTTTGATGGACAACTGGATGTTTCACTGTTCAGTGAAGCTTTTGCAAAAACGATGGATTTCCTTGAAACATTTGTTTTCCATTAATCAAAATATTTTGACCAAGCATCAGTTTGGTCAAAAATGATTATAATAATTGAATTCTGATAAAAGATCAAAATTTTCCAAAGTGGGGAGGAAAAGAATATTTAGGGTCATTTTAGGATCTTGTCCAAAAAACCTCAGCAACAACAAAAAAAACAAATAATCCTCCCCTCCTGCCCCCAGAACTTCCATACTATAAAACATATTTCACATCAGGCTGAATCCTTGAAAATACTAAGTACTCTGGACCCAGTCTCCAAAGCTTTTATGCAGGTGTTTTACGTTGAGCTTGTAAGCAGTTCCTTTGTAATCAACAGCACTCCTCCCATCTTTCAATGCTTTGCTTAGTTAGGCCCCATGGTTTTTAGCACCATGTTCAGTCAAGACTATAAAACATGAAGCAAAGCCTTTAATCCTGTGATTTGGATTTTTTTCCCAAAATCTATGACCAGAAGATAAATCATGAAAAACTTCTGTCCCAGGGACCCACAAACCATCCTTGCAATTCACTGAGCCAAAGAATCTGTCTGAGCCCTCTTGGGACATAAATAGGTCATGATTCTTTATACCATGCTTTAATGTAAAATCAAAAATGGGAAAAGAGTTCTCTTTTAACTCTGGGAGAGTGCCGGCACAAGGTTACTACATAGTAAATTGACTGTATTGCATGGTTAAAAGCAGGGCGGACACATGGCGCACAGCCTTACTATGCAGTAGATCATTTGACTCCAGGGTAAAGTTACCACTTGAAAAATTGGTAGTAACTTTCCAGTGTGGGAAAGTTACTACCTGGAACACATGGTATGTTGGCTCCCCTAGTCAGTTCATCCTGGGGGTCACTCTTTGCCCAGTGCAGGCTGGCTTTCTGCCATCTAGCGGCTGAGGGCTGTAATAGTACCCATGGCTGGCAGGCTGCCAACTTGGGAGAGCTGGTCATGAGCCTGCTTCTTACTACAGAGTAAATTTGCGGTACAACACCGTAATATCCCAGGTAAACTACTTTGGGGTAATTGTGTCATATCACTTGGCTTCAACATTAGGGTAAAAGGATAATGAGGATCACGACTCCTCTGTGGACTTTAATTCTTACCGTATTGAACAGTTTCCTTGACACCTTGGTTCACCCAATCAAATCCCATCAAGGTAGATGTAAATGGAAGTGTCACTGTTTGTGGCAAAGACCTAAAGAAGACGGCATGAATGTGAGTGAGAAAAGGAAAGCTGACTGAATTTTAAATGTTTCAGGAATGGTGATTTTTGTTTGCCTTAAAATGATGGGCTTTGTCTCAGGAGGTGTCACTGGAGCCAAAAGATGTTGCAGTGGTTCCCAAAGAGCATGACGTGGCATACTAATGTGCTGCAAAAGCAGCGGAAGCATACCTCAAAAAGTGATACTTTATCAGTATCAGAGCTAGCCCATAAAGTTTCCCACGCATCTGGAAATGTGGTGGTGGAGAAGCAATGGCAGTTAGCAATCCCACTGGTCACCTGCTGCCAAATGTCCAGGCTCCACACAACAGGAATGGGTCCTGGCCATGCTGGCCCCATGTAGCAAGAATGAACCCACAAAACAGAGTGAACCAACAGCTTGTGGACCAACCTGGCACCACTCATCAAGCCCTCAGGGACAAAAGGTTTAGCACCACTGGTGTGTGTGTACAAACAATGTGCACTGCCAGTTTTAATTTAGAAAAAAAGTGTGCCTCAATTTTAAACAGTTTGGGAAACATTGTGTTAGAGGGGAGTTGAAAGTGGTGCACATTAATACTGGTGGAGCAAGGTACTACGCCCTATGCAGTGCCATAGCAGGGGGGCAGCAAGCAGGGCAACTGCCCAGGGCGCCAAAGCGAAGGGTCGCTAATAGGCGCTGCCCAGCAGAGGCGGGGCAGGGCATGGGACAGAGGCACAAGCAGATCATTGGGGGGGGGGGGGCACTCCCGCAGCTGTATGCACTCCCGAGCAAGCATGAGGGGGCATGTGCCCCCCGGATCTGGTCATGGGGCAAGGGTGGGATGCCGCTGCAGGCTTTACCCAGGCGCCAAACTTCATTGCTATGGCACTGGCCCCATGGCTTCCATGTGACTGCTTGTATGCTTCTAGGGAAGCGCATGCTTAAGTGCCATGTTTAATCAGAGCCTAAAGGCTCTCTCTCTTATGGAAGCATGTTACTAAAAAGATGAAGCTGGCTCAAACTCCATTAACTAAGCAGACAGAAGATTGATTGAACTAGATGTCCAAGAGGATAGGGAAACTATTGTTTCATTGTGAGACAAGCCAGAGGGTGAAACTATCAATGTGTACCATATGACCGCTGTACCAGGAACCTCAGGCATCCTTCAGAGATTCAGACTGTATCATATGGGAGAACACAGAATTGCTACAGTACTGAGGCATCTGTGAAAAGAATCTTGTGACACGTTCTGGGACAGGGATGGGAGGAGGGCCCCCTTATTGGATGAAACATAAATATTTTGGCTCTTGCTTTAAGAACAGGGTAAGACTGGTTTCTTATTAGCTTAAGGAGAGGTAGTTAGCTATGTCTGAAGTCTGGTATCTTAGGGTATGTACAGAAGTTGCATTTTTCACCATTTAAAGTGCTTTATTGCCGTGCCTTTACAGAATTGCATGGCTTTACAGCACTTTAAAATGGCTACAATGCTTTAAATTAACCCTTGTTAAAAAAGGTATTACATTTTAAGTGCTGTATTTTACAGCACTTTAGCCACCTCTAGCACTTTAAATAACTTCTGTATGCTGATCAAATTTCTGACCAGTGGAGAAGCTCCAAGAGGCTGTGAAGTGCCCCCTGCCTCCTAGCCTGGAAAGTGCACCC